CCATCCATCCATCATCCATCCATCCATCCATCCATCCATCCATCCATCCATCCATTTATCCATCCATCCATCCATCCATCCATCCATCCATCCATCCATCCATTACGTGTGCTGAGCAAATTTATTGATTGGCTGGTTAATAAACTTTATTTAATGAGACAAATCCCACTGAGATCACAGATCCATTTTGCCAGGGAGGTCTGAGCCTTCAAGCAGACTAACATGCATGTTTTTAGACCGTGTGTGGAAACCGGTGCACCAGGAGAATACCCACGTAAACCCAAGGAGAACATGCAATCTCCACACAGAAAGACCCCAGGTCCACACCTGGGTTGTAATAGTATTAATAGGTGTTTTTGAATTTTCTTGTTGCTTACAGGCATAAACACAAGAATTGTAAAGGAGTAGAGAAGTAAAGAGAAGTTACCAGGAAATTAAATTGAGTCAAAAAATTGTTTGCTGGAATAATAAAACCTACTAAGGACTTAGTTGCTAGACTTGGTACGCTGTGTTAAACTTGTCTTTAATGTTGTTTAGGAAAATGTATAATGATGAATTTCTAGTGATGGAGTTGGAAGAGCAAAAACCTTTGAGTAAACCTGGAGGCTTGGACTCTGGGAAGGTGGCACTAAAGTTAGCTGGCTGCCTTATTGAGCTGAGTTGTGTTGAGCCTCAATCCTAGCTGCTGTGACCTTCAGTGCATGGAGATGGTTGATATGAAGTCACAAGCTGGTGAATGGAGAGTGACGATGAGCGCTTGCTGGTGATAAGTTACTAAAGCTATTGGCTGTTCATACCGTAAATCCTTCCAAGAGCTAAGCTGAATAGGTCTATTTTTCATTCAACCTTTATTTAGACAGGTTAATCCCACTGAGCCTCGAGGACTCATTTACAAGAGAGACCTGATTTCAACAAAGATATTTCATAAACAGGGGAAGCAGGTGTGTTGATGGGGGCTGCATTCGATTTGTGCAGCAGCATGCTAGTTGTTCTGTAAAATAATATTTACAAGCATAGTAATGCAAAATGCAACCCTTATTATTACACCTGTGCCTATTGGCTCTTTTAAATCCAAATATCTGCCATGATTTAAGCTTCTGAACAGAGCTTGTAGGCGAAATTTAGACATGGGCTTGTTCTTGTTCATAAATAGGAGCTTTTGCCGCCAAAACAATGGCAATATTGTCTTTGCCTACGTCTGTGTGTGCCTGTGTACATGTGTACTTGTGTTTGTGTTTCTGTTGTGTTGGTGAAATACTGTATCTCACAAACCACTGGCTATGTTTTACTGAAACTCTCAGAAAGTAATCGTTGGCTGCATGGATGTCTGCAGCTGGTTATCCTTTGGACCAGTACCAGTTCAAGATGGCCATCACAGTAAATCAACTTAAAAATACAAACAAATGGCTGTAACTCTGTAAATTTTGCAAAAATAAAACAAAAATTGTATGTAGTGTTATAATTTTTGTATTATTATTATTTTTTTTAATTTACTCGTATCTCCTGTAAAGTCATTAATTTGTTGATGTGGGGCAGCAGTTTGGTCGTCTTCCAGATTGAATAGTTTCATGGACTCACGCTGAGATGCAAGTTTCTGCAGTGGTTGGACCTTTGATTAAGTGCAGCTCCCATCCTCACAGAGCTGCACATTTCAACAGATAACATCCTGAGCAGACAATTCACGGACGTGAGGGAAGGAAACACGACATCTCCTGTATCACTTTCTGTCCCGTGACTGAAATTCCCTGACAGTTCAGAGAAAAAGGGAGAAAAATATCTGACAAGAGCATCTGATCAGTTTGATACCTTTATGTCTTTATTGTCTTGATGTGTCCCCTGCCGCCTCGATAAGCAGAAAGAAGTCTTTGTGCAGTCAGTTGTATTTCACCTTAAACATGCACATTTGTTAAAGGTGTAATAAAGTTTCTCATGTTGTTTACGCAGCGAGAAGGTTGCCGGATCGAATCCTGGCAGCGACTTTGAATGTCATCAGCCCATTAAATGGCCGTTATTAGTTGTTATCAACCCCATACGTAGCGCTGAGACTGTCCCTCCTACCCGCTAGTAGGTTTAAAGGTATGTTCTTATCGCTGATAATATGCAGCTTTGTCCGCATGTAAAACCGGAAGGTTTTATTTGTTAGCTTTATTTAACCCTTTTCCTAAACCTAAACTTACACATGACCCAGAGCACTGACCCTTAACCTAACCTCCTAACCATATTTTTAGCTATAAGAACGTACCTTTAAACCTACTAGGAGGTACAGGAGGGACAGTCTGAACGCAACCTATGGGGATGATAACAACGAATAACGGACATTTAATGGCTGATAACATTCGAAGCGGGTGATCCTGGCCGGGGGCTTTTCTGGGTGGAGTTTGCATGTTCTCTCTGTGCATGCGTGGGTTTTCTCCGAGTACTCCAGTTTCCTCCCACAGACCAAAAACATGCATGTTAGACTGATTGGTAACTCTAAATTGTCCCTAGGTGTGAGTGAAAGAGTGAATGGTTGTTTGTCTCATTTGTCTCCATGTGTCCCTGTGACAGACAGGAGACCTGTCCAGGGTGTCCCCTGCATTTTGCACAGTGATATCTGGATATGGGCACCACCCCCGTGATCCGAAAAGGATGACGATAAAAATAACGGATGGATGGATGGATGGATGGATGGATGATGGATGGATGTTGTATATGACAAACTTCACTTAGGTTCATCACAAAGATCTATTCTTTATGTAAAATATGTCATTTTTACTTTCTTTCATTACGAATTTCCCTAAAAAGCTTAAATATATTTTTAATCTGGAAAATCACTCAGTGGAGTCAATTTCACATAAAGAAGGCATCTATCTCTGTTTGTTAAATAGTTTTAAACAAAATGTCTTTAAATAGTAACACCATTTTTTGACACTACTGGTGTGGTTGACTAAACTTGTTAAAGCAACTTTCACGTTAACTTTCACATCTTGGTCTCAAAGTAGACTCGGCAGATCGAGTTGGAAACAATGCGGTGAAGTCTGTGATTTAACCCAAATAAAAACTTGATCAACCACTTCAATATCATTAGGATGGATTGAGGCAGATGTAGATTTTATTGTTGACATCAGACAGAGCAGCACGCAGAAAGAAGGAATTTGCTGAAAAACTTGCATAAATCAAGACATTTTCACAAGATGTTCAGTGCAAATCGTGCCAGAGAACAAAAAAGGGCAACAAATGATGCACGCTTTTGTTCTCACTCTAGTAAAGAAAACTCTTTTTTCATCCTATTTTTCTTGGAAACATACACCAAAGAATGCACTACAGGCTAAAAAGTGGTAAGAAATTATTGAGTTAGCAGCATAAATTAAAAAGCAAATCGTGCAAAAGATTAAAGTTTCACTTCCTGTCAGACTGCTGAAGCAAACCCTATCCGATTGTGACGACGATCAAACTCTGTGTAGTACTGAGCAATGAAGTTGGCTCCCAAAATCCAAATGGGCCCTGTAGGCGGTGGAACATCCAAACCCCTGAAGGTGACCACGCAGACATCCCCTTCGATCTGTGATTGCTGTAAGAAATGTAATTATTATTTCAAGCTGCTGCTCTATTTGAAAGATAAAAAACAACTAGAAAATAATAAGGCACTTAGCGTGTTTCTTACCCATAAAATATAATCCTCATGTGTAAGTGGGTACTCTCTGCCTCCCAGGTGGAAAGTGATCCTGGGCAATATCTTCACTGCATCACAGTCAACATTATACTGGTAAACAGCGCAATGTTAAATGGTATGATTAGTGATGAACAGGCATTTTGTTGAACATTTTGTTATCCTGTGTTTAAAACATACTCCTGTTTCATCCTGTTGTGCTCCGATGGTTTTCATCAGCGCTGACACGGAGGAGGCGGGGCCTGTGATGTAAGAGGAGCCCGTATCGATAACAGCCGTGCAGCCTTCGGAACAAAACATCATCTCTGCTCCGACAGAGACACTGACAGAACGAGAGAGGAGATATGACACAAAAACTTGACATTATGTATTGCTCCATTATGCTTCATAGAACAAAGATCTCACCCTTTCATTGTGACTTCCCACTTTCCTATTCCCCTGGTTTCCAAATAATTGAAGTTCCCAGTGTAGTAGTTTGGGTCAGTTCCTCCAAGAACCAGCTCTCCACCAGGGGAATGTTTTGGATCTCTGAATTTATGGAACAACCATAAAAAGATTAATGACTGGGCCAACAGAAGACAGGCTACAGAGTGCAGTAGTTCAGATGGGGCCCTGGGCTTCTGTTTAGGAATCAAGTAAACATTGAACAACCTGAAAAAGATTCAAAATGACATCAATATTACAGAAATTCAAACTAGCATTAAAGAGACTCTACAGTGCATTGGGATAAGAGAAAAAAATATATAAACTAAAATACTAGAGAAAGAGGCACCATCATGTTTAAAAAAAACCACTAAACTACCACACAAAGATACAAAGAGAAGTGAAATCACCACAAAGAAATCCATTCAGCCACAAAGTGGTTCACCCGACCAAAATTAAATGAAGAAAACCTGTGCAAAACACACATAAAACATCCGTAAGGAGACTTCAAAACACATCTGTGGTGTCTGCAGTTGGTTTGATAGGTGGGGGCCTTTTGACGGCTCTGTGCCCAAGAGCTCTCTATCCCTCATGTCTCAGTGTTTCAGGCTCAGAGCTTCAAGTGCCACAAGTTTGCAATTCATTTTCACTCTGCTGCCACACAGGAGTTGATAAGAAGCTCCAAGAGTTCTGAACAGAAGTGTTAGACGTCATGATAGATAGATAGATAGATAGATAGATAGATAGATAGATAGATAGATAGATAGACAGACAGACAGACAGACAGACAGACAGACAGACAGACAGACAGA